AGGAAATTGACGGAAAGTTAATACCGGTAGCATACAAGTCTAGAAGATTAACCCCTATGGAGCAGTAGTTTGGGATCTGTGAAAGAGAATATTTAGCTGCTGTGTGGGCCAGCGAAGCTTTTGCTTTGAATACTGGCACAGCCCCTGTTATAATACAAACACCTCACTTTCCACTGAAGTATATTTTATCAGGTAAACTGCAGGGGAAAGGAGTATTGAATTGCAGAATGGCCCAAGGGACCTTGATGTTAACTAACACAGATGTTACTTATGAGAACAACAAACAAGCCATGATGTTACCATATGCCCTCCATACTGCAGAGACCACTTCCAGAAACCGAACCTAAGTTAGTTGAAGCAGCACCCCTGGTAGACGTTAAGTCTCGGAGAAAAAGAGGTTTGGTTTACAGATGGTAGTTCGTGCCATTGGAACTCTAAGAAACATATGGGATATGCTGCTGTACAAATTGACGGGGAAACTATTTCTGGTTCTATGAGTATGACTGCAGCTCAGGGAGCAGAGGTCAGAGCTCTTAGTGACCTGCTTAAATAGAAAAATAATGTTACGGATTGTCTTTATGTCTAAATGGATTCAGACTTTGTGGTACAAGGACTGTGATACTGGATTGAGATTTGGAAAAAGAATCCTTGGCAAACAGTTGAGGGGAAAAATTTGGTCCAAAAGGAGGATTGGAAATCTAACGGATTGGTTGAAAAAACACCCAGGAAAATTAAGAGTAAGACATATTAAAGGTCATCAAAAGAGAGAAGGGAATGAAAAATATTGGAATGATAAAGCGGATGCTTTAGCTAAATTAACAGCAAAGGAACCTTTGGGAGTTATGGAAGTTACTGGAGCTCAAGCCATAAAACAGGGAGGTTAAACCTGAGGAAAGAAGGGGAAACTGGAATATACAAGGTAACTATGCGGTGAATTAAAAAAAACAGGAGAGGTAAAGTGGACACCTGACAAACTTCAAAGAGAAGAGATTATTAACCTGTGTCACTCTATGGTGCATCAAGGAATAGAGAAAACTCTCTTTAAGGTAAAACAAATTGGAATATGGCTCAGGTGCGAAATGACGTAGACAATTTTGTTAAAAACTGCATAAGGTGTGCAGCAGACGGGAATACACCAGTGAATTTGAGACCCTTGTGGCACCAAAGAATTGTGGAGCCATGGAATAGAATACAGGTTGATTATACTGATAAATTGCCTAAGACTCAAAGGAGGAATCGGTATTTATTAGTGATAGTAGATTCCTTTTCTGGATGGGGGGAGGCAATTCCCACCAGAAATCATACTGCAGAGACCACTGCCAAAAAGCTGTGGGAAGTAGTGCTTAGTAGATATGGACTATTATGTGGGGGAGGTCTAGGTTGGATATTAGGAAACACTGTTTCACTCGGAGGGTGGTGAAGCACTGGAAGGGGTTACTTAGGGAGGTGGTGGAATCTCCATCCTTTGAGGTTTTTAAGGCCCGGCTTGACAAAGCCCTGGCTAGGATGATTTAGTTGGTGTTGGTCCTGCTTTGAGCAGGGGGTTGGACTAGATGACCTCCTGAGGTCTCTTCCAACCCTAATCTTCTATGATTCTATGAACTCCAAAAGTAATTGATTCAGATAATGGGCCACATTTTGTAGGAGGAGTAATTAAAAGTTTATTAAAAGCTTTAGGAATAAAGCAACAACTACATATCCCCTATCATCCTCAATCGTTAGGGACAGTAGAAAGGATGAATCAAACTATTCAACAAGCTTTACGCAAAGTAGTGCAAGAAACTGGCAAAGATTGGGACGATAAATTGCCAATTTGTTGGCGGTCATCCGAAGTAGTGATCTATTGGGTACTGGCTACCAGGCTTATCAAATTCTCTTTGGAAGGCCTATGAGATTGTGGAGCCCTTTATTGTACCCCGAAGAAGAAGAGGAGGTATCAGTTATGCAATGGGTAAGGGTGTTACCAATAGAACTTAAGAAAATGGAATTTAAACTGACTGATGCCATTGAAAAAGCAAGAGACACTGGATTCTCATGTGGCTCAGGACAGTAAATTTTGGAAAATCAGAGATAGAGTAATGTATTTGAAACTATCGAAAAATCATGTCCTGGAGTCTAGATGGGTTGGACCATTTCCCATCATGAATAAAATTTCACCTACTGTAGTGCAGATTAACAAGGGGGAAAAGGGAAAGTGGATCCACACATCACAATTAAAGTTATGGCCTAAAGATTAAATAATGTTCCTTTCTTTTTCTTTTAGTTTATCTTACAGAGAGAAAGGAATGCCCAATTGCACAGGAGATTATCCTGTACGAACCTTGGATTTGGAGTATGGATACGGTGCTACAATTTTTGTAATTGGTTTATTGCTTATGCTTGCTTTGCTTTGCATTTTGTGCTTAGTAGAAGAATTGTGTTGTGGGTGTTATATTTTAGGAAGAAAAAAAATAATACCAGAGCTCGAGTAAAGATAGAAGAGGGTTAGAGTAAGTATTTAGAATAATACGGCTGGAAGCATTGGACATTATTCCTATGGAATAATGGCCATGACTTCAATATTGAGGCTCCTAATAATTCAAAAAGGGTGGAAATATAGTTTTTGGTTTTTATGTTTTTTGAATATTTGGGGAAATGTAGGGGTACATGGATATACATATGGGAGCACCTCTAGGATGGAGGTAAGGATCAAAGGTCAAAATACATTAGACTATTCGCGGGACAGAATGGAAAAAACAGGACCAAACAAAACCAGATGTAAAGAAAAACCTTTTGAGGTAAAATTTGAAATATGGCGGGAAGATGGCAAAAATGTGACACGGGAATATCTAAAGCCAAAAGATTTGATATTGAGACATTACAAGGGAAAATGTCAGCTTTGGGTAAGATTTTGGGGGTTATACAGACACATGTGAACAAAATTTTGGTGCATTATCGGAACAAGGAATAAGTAGTGTGGAACTCCAGTTGAAACAAGCCCAACCCTTGAAAATGTCTCTAAATGTAAATCTATTTGTTGTGTCTGAGATGGACAATAAAACTGTACAAGCAATACGAGGTGTACAGAGGCAAACTTATGGGATACAACAGAAAGAGAGAATGATTAATCTGTTAAGTAACGGACAATGGCCTTTTGAGTGGTTCAAAGATCCTCATATATGGAATCAGCAAATTGCAGGATGGAAGAAATATATGGCGTTTAATTGGGATCAAGCCACTCTGAAGGTGGAGTGTGGAAAGGCAGAATGCTGTTACACAACACAGGGAAGCAAAGGAACGCAGCAATGGCATTGGTGCTGCCAAAAATTATGAACGAAGAGTTATGGCAAATAGAAATAAGTGGGACACACCTGATTCAAGAAGAAGGGGATTATAAATTAGTAACATTAACGAAACATTGTGAAGAGTGGGGACGAAGTAAATGGGTGTGCCCACAACTAACTTGGTCCCTAGAGGCATGTCATTTGAACCATTCAAGCAGACAATGTACCATGCAATACTTAGCCTCTCATGGCACAAGAGTGTTTGATTTAGGCAACAGTTGTATTTGTCTGGTAACCACTGAAAAACATGTATTTTGGGGAAGTATGACAGAAAAAGGCCCAATTAAGTCATGTAAATGTAATGTAATAGAGATCATTATTAATGGAATTATTTACCGAGGTCCTCTATTTTTATAAAGGAAATTGTTTGGGAACCAAAAGATGTGGACTGGTACTTTGATTTGAGGATACATTGGGAACAATGGGAAAAATTTATTGATGAAAGAGAAAAAATCAGGCAATATGCAAAAGATGTATCTAAGTCTGCTCAGCTAGGAAAATAAACATTTTGAGCCACAAAGGTCAAATATTAAAATTGGGGAAAGAAGGAGAAGAATTGGCAATTTCTCATTGGTATGATATTTTCAAAGGATGGTCTCCCAGTGCCACAGCTCTTCTAAATTTAATGCTATATCCTATTGTGATATTATTTGCATGAATTATTTTGTTAACCTTTATTATGCTATGTTTATACTGCCGAATAAGAAAGCGACAAGAAGTTTTGGAGCAAGCGATATATAAAATTGAATTGCTTGTGAAATTATAATGTGATACAATAATTAATGGCATTAATCATGTATTGAGGGGGGAAATGTTGGGAGATGTATATATATTACACATACACATTGTGATTCATCTCTAACATATTACATGGATATGTCATTGAGGCCTGGTATGAATGACGCATACTTGACATGAATATGTGCATTGCAAGTTGGCAACCGAAGCAAGATCTTATGGTCAAGGACTGTTAGAACTATCTGTGCAAAAACAATCTTGTTATGTTCAGAGAAAAATACGGAAAATGAGCAGAAAAGGAAACTGTCAGCTGGACTGATATAAAATTGTATAAGAATTGGAGGAAATGGCACGCCTTGAACCATGGCAGCCTGCCCAGGATTGTCTCTTTGGAATTGTGTGGGTAGAAGGCCTAGTAAACAAAGGCAAAGAACCAATGACATGACAGAATGGACTAAAAATAGTTGCCTATGACTTCTGCAAATCGGAGTTATTTATTGATCCAGAGCCGCATGTGGATATAGATGTGGTTTTCGCCGGCTCCCCATGTCTTATGATCGGAAGGAATCTCTACTGGCCATCGAGCCCATTCTGACCTTTGGTCTCTGGGATAGTATGTTTGGGATGTGAAAGTGGAGTGACTAAGGTTTGTTTTGTAATCAATAAAGAGCATTTAGAGTATTATATACCAACACTGTGTCCATTATCTATCTGCTCCCCATCCCGTAAGGGAGACCTCTACTGAGGGTCTAATACTCCTAGTGATGGAGAATCATTGTGTCCTGAGGGGAGCTCTCCCAGTGGTTCACTTCCATCAAGATAAATATGGGCCCCTAATTCCCAGCCTCAATTTGTCTCTCTTCAGCTCATTTGCCTTTGTCAAGGAGCCCTTCATTAGCACGTGTGTAAATCAGAAGGGACCGGATTATGACGACTCACCTGAGGAGGGGCTCTCAGGCCCGGAGCTTTCCCTGGAGTCCTCGGCATCCCAGATCCAGAGCTCTGCCTCCCCTACCTCGATCCGGTGGATTAAGTCTGGTTTGGAACCTGAATAGCCTGTTTTGGGGGGGAAGTTTTATTACTAAAGTTTTGGCTGCAGGGGCTCAATTATATGTTGGTGCAGCCCAGCACAACAGGGCCCCGACCTCGGTCAGGATGTGTCTGCACAGCACCTGGCACAACGGGACACTGCTCTCAGTCGCTGCTTCAGAGGAAAGCACAAGAGATCCCAAGCAGGAGAATAATGAAATAAACCTTCCTTAGAGGAGATTTCTTCCTGTCTCCCACCAGGCAAGTTCAGTTCACACTCTGAAGCAGCAACGTCTATGACCCATCTCAATTTGCAGTGGGGGCTGAGTTTTAAATCCTTACTAGGGTAACTCCAGATGTTCCATAGAAATATCCCATGCTGCTAACACCTTGGCCTCTATGCTATCTTGTGGCACTACGTTCCATAGGACAACTGTGTGACACAGATTTTCTTTAACGAGTTGAAACACCATTGAACACCCATTACTCTCAGATTAAGAGACAGGGTGAGTAGAAAGTCCTCAAACACCTTCTCTTTGGTCATTCACTTACCCACCTGAAAAATTTATCATGGGGGAAGATTTTGGAAGAAGGGAACTTTGCTCCTTTGCCATCTTATAGCTGTTGAAAACAGTTTGCAGTAGGTCATTATAAGGCACTGGCCACAACGTGTCATGGCAAGTGTCACCAGGTGGCGCCGTTCAGAGCTACCAGTTCTTTCACATAGGGTGCAAGCACTGTTCAGCTGGACAGTTGTTAAATTTACGATGTTCATTCTTTGGGGGGAGGTGGGGAGCTCTTGTAACAGCAACATTTTTCCCCTGCCTTATTTAACTCGAGTCACTTCCTGAGGCACACTTGTTACTCATGTGACTGTTGGCTACCACTTTTGTGCCAGGACTGAGGTAGGGAATGCAAATAAACAAGTCCCACTAGGGGCTTGTCTACACTACCCGCTGGATCGGCAGGCAGCGATCGATCCAGTGGGGGTCGATTTATCGCATCTAGCCTAGACGCGATAAATTGACCGCTGAGCGCTCTCCCGTCGACTCCAATACTCCACCGGAACGAGCAGCGCAAGCGGAGTCGACGGGAGAGTATCAGCTGTCGACTTACTGCAGTGAAGGCAGGTAAGTAGATCTAAGTACGTTGACTTCAGCTACGCTAGTCACATAGCTGAAATTGCGTATCTTCGATCGACCCCGCGCGGAAGTGTAGACAAGCCCTAAGATTAGCCCCAGGCTTTATAGCCCTGATTTCTGCTCCAACAGGAAGCCGGCCTGAAAGAGGCTGGCATTTGCCACCACTCAGCCCAGGGTTGCACATGGCATCGAGGGAACCCAGACATTTCACAGCTGTTAAAAAGAAGATAAATTGGTCCTTACCCAGGGAAATGAGGGCCCAATAATTCCTCAGCATCTGGTCCCGGTACAGATGCTTCTCTCGCTGGGATAAGAGCTCCCACTCCTCCCGGGTGAAATACAGAGCGACGTCCTCAAACGCCACCTGGACCTGTGGGCACAAGCGTTACAGCACCTTCCACTCCAGCCCCAGCCTGGAGTCTCAGCGGGGGATGAGGTTTCTAGGGGAGCGACTCCCAGGGAAACCCCCAGTCCAGCAGCTGTGACCCACGGAGACTCTCCCCCCCCGACCCTGCACAGCCCCCCAAGGACTTGGGGCCCTGCTGGCCGGGGACAGGAGTCACCCTTGGCTTCCTATGGGGATCTGGGGTGGGACGCTGGGAAGGGCCCCAATCCCAGGGCAGGGAACAGGCTCCGCTCCTCTCCCCTCCCCAGCCGGAGTCCCCGCCTCCGCCCCAGGCCTGTGCTCAGCCCAGCTCCCACTCCTGGCTCAGGAGCCAAGAAGGCTAATGGCATATTGGGCTACATTAGTAGGAGTATTGCCAACAGATCGAGGGACGTGATTATTCCCCTCTATTCGGCTCTGGTGAGGCCACAGCTGGAGTATTGTGTCCAGTTTTGGTCCCCCCACTACAGAAAGGATGTAGACAAATTGGAGAGAGTCCAGCGGACGGCAACGAAAATTATCAGGGGGTTGGGGCACATGACTTACGAGGTGAGGCTGAGGGAACTGGGGTTATTTAGTCTCTAGGAAAGAAGAGTGAGGGGGGATTTGCTAGCAGCCTTCAACTACCTGAAAGGGGGTTCCAAAGAGGATGGATCTAGACTGTTCTCAGTGGTGGCAGATGACAGAACGAGGAGCAATGGTCTCAAGTTGCAGTGGGGAAGGTCTAGGTTGGATATTAGGAAACACTGTTTCACTAGGAGGGTGGTGAAGCACTGGAATGGGTTCCCTAGGGAGGGGGTGGAATCTCCATCCTTCAGGTTTTTAAATCCCGGCTTGACAAAGCCCTGGCTGGGATGATTTAGTTGGGGATGGTCCTGCTTTGAGCAGGGGGTTGGACTAGATGACCTCCTGAGGTCCCTTCCAACCCTGATATTCTGTGATTCTATGAAGGGGCCGCGCCCGGCTCTGCATGTCCGCCGGGCCAGGCCCCCCAGCCCTGGGGGCCCCAAAGCAGCTCCCCGACTCCAGCGGCCCCGGGCTGCGCTGGTGCAAAGCGGGGCCCCGGGCTCTGCCTGGCCGCGCTGAGCCGCTCCCAGCCCCGGGGTCACTAAAGCGGGAGGGACCCGGGTCCCAGCCCCCAGCCGGGACCAGCCAGTGCCCGGCCGGGGAGTCCCCGCCCCGCGTCCTACCTGCGCCGGCCCCGCTGCAGCCATCGCCGCGCTCGACTCCGGCCGCTTCCTCCGCCCGGGCAGCGACTTCTCTGCCCGCGACCCGCCCTAGGGCTGCAGCCGCTCCCCGCCCTGCGCACGGGCAGGTCCGGGCTGGGACCCAGGGGGCCGGGCTGGCCCGGGAAGGCCCCGCCCCGCTCCAGCCCCGCTGCGCTCCCCGCCCCCCGGCTCAAGGGCCCCGCGCCTGCGCCGCCAGCTCCAGCAGCCCGGGGAGGCCCCAGCGCAGCGACCTTCCGGCCCAGAGCCCCGCACGCCTGGGTCCCGGGTCCGGCCGCTGGAGCGCTCGCTGCACCCGGTCCCCGGGCGGTAGGAGCCCCTTGCAGGGCAGCCCGGTCCCCGCCCCTGGGCTGTGCGCGGGGCCCCGCTGCGCCTTGGGGAGCCCGGAGCCCGGACTCCTGGGTTCTCTCCCGGCTCTGGGCGGGGAGCGGGGACTAGTAGGTACAAGAGGGCCCAGGCCCGGCTGTGCAGCGTGGGAGTGTCACGGAAAGAGACGGGTCGGGCTGTGTGACGGTGTGTGTGTGTGTGTTACAGCGGCTCGCACCCCCGGCTGCTGTGTAATGTGTGTGTGTGTGTGTGTTAGAGGAGGCCAGTGTATGGGTGAGCGTGACAGGAGCTCACACTTGCCTGTAGTGTGTATGTGTGCTTCAGGGGGGGCTGAGCAGTGTGTGTGTGGTGTGTGTGTGTGACAAGAGGTCCCACCCAGCTGTCTGTGTGCGTTTCAGGAGCTCACACCCATGTCCCTGCCCAGCGCCATGGGGAGGGCAGCTGCCCCATACAGCTGCTGTGTTCTGGCCTCGGTGCTGGCGCCCAGGCTGGCTGCCCCTGCCCCTGCCCCCCGCTCATCGTGCCGGGCCCTGCACACCACAGGTGCCACCCCCGCCGGCCACAACAAATGGTCCAAGGTGAAGCACATCAAGGGCCCGCGGGACGCCGAGCGCAGCCGGCTCTTCCAGAAACTCACCATGCTGCTGCGCTTCGCTGTGAAAGGTACCGAGGGGGAGAGACCGTTCCTGTGCGTGACCCAGCCCCAGCCAGAGGGAGCGCTATGGAGCCCTGCCAGCTTCCCCGTGCCCCACAGGCCCCGCTGCAGCCAGAGGGGGCATTACAGAGACTTCCTGGCCTCCCGGCACTTGATGGGGCCCAGCCTTCGCCAGAGGTTGTGGCTACAGAGCCCTGCCAGCCCAGCCTTGACCACTAGCACGACCCTAACCCCCACACCCCCTAACCTCTGTTCGCCCGAAGCCAGCAACCTCCCTGGCTGCTGGAGCAGAGGATGCTGGTCTGTGGGGTAGTGTCTCCCCTTCTCATCCTTTCTCCACTCGATCTTTCCTTTGTCCCACAGCACCTCCCCTACGGTGGCTGGGTCTGTGCTCCACTCTAGCAGCTGTTTCACATAAGAGGGGGGCAGCCCAGTCCCTGTGGTTCAGGCAGCCGGAGGTAACAGCTAACGGTGGCTGAAGAGAGGAGGGGCCTTGGGACAGGTGGTTTGGGGCAGGGAGGGTCACCAGGGACCTCAGGACTCCTGGGTCCCATCCCCAGCTCTGGAGGGGGGATAGTGGGTTAGAGCAGGGGGGTCTCAGAGTCAGGACACCTGGATTCTATCCCTGGCTCTTGGAGAGGAGTGGAGGCTGATGAGTTATAGCAGTGGGGGCGGGGAGTCAGGACTGCCCTGGAATGGGATCCCAGCCATGTTTCCCTTGTGATGCCCCCTTTCTCTCCTGTTGCAGAGGGGGGACCCAACCCTGATCTCAACACCAACCTGGCCAACATCATCGAGCAGTGCCGGAGCAAGAGCATGCCCAAAGCATCCATTGAGGCGGCTATCAAGGGAGGGGTATGTAGCCGGGTCCTGCCAGCCCGGCTCATGGGCTGCAGCCTTTCTGTATTCTCTGGGCCGGGCCAGGCTATGCAAAGGGGCATTGCGAGCCTTGAATGAGAGAGTGAGGCTGGGCTTTTGGCTATGGTGCTGGGCTGGGCTACAGGACTTGTGATTTCTATTCCTAGCTCTGCCACTTGTTCCCTCTGACCTTGGGAAGATCACTTGGGTCATAGGGAATTGCCAGATGGGATCAGAGCAGAGGTGTGTCCACTCCAGTGTCCTGTTTCCAGCACCAGAGGCTGCAGAGGCAGGTGTAAGAATTCTGCAGTAGCAGATGTGGGGATAAGTTAGGTCTCAGTTTGGTCTGTAATAGTTACAGTCAGCTCAAGCCCTGAAGCAGGAGGTTTAATATCCCTGCCAGAAGTTGTTTACATTAATTATTCCAAGTCTGGATGTTCTTATGGTTCATAGAAATATACAGTCCCTCTTTGAATCTTGCTAAGTTCTTGCCCCCTGTGACATCATGTGGCAGTGAGTTCCACAGGATAATCACCCATTGTGTGAAAAAGTATTTTCTATGATCAGCTTTGAATTTCCCACCTTTTATTTTGCTGAACATCCTCTCGTCCTTGTGTTACGAATAGAGATGATTGGGAAAAGGAATGTCCATCCCACAGGAAATTCTGACACTTCTAAATTTGTTTTCATTCTGAATCAGATTAGAAAATTTAGATTTTAAAATGTTTAGTGGAAAGAAAGTTCAGACACACTGAATTATTTCCTTTCACTAATGCCATAACCTTGTAATTTAATACAAAATATTAAACCTACATTGAAATTAATATAATATAATGTAAAATTGGAATGAACTGGAACAATAGTCAAAATGAAGTGTTACCTTAGCAAAACGCATTTTTTGTATTCTTGAACTGAGAAAATTGAAGTGATTCATTTTCACATCAAATTTCATTGAAATTTACAAGCTCCTGTGAAATGTTTAGATTCTAACAAAATTATCTTTTCTAATGGAAGACTGTTTTGCTACCAGTGTTTTGACCATCTGTGGTTATAGGGTGGGGAGAGCAGATGCTCTCAATCTCCTTTCTCTACCCTAGCCTTCAGTTAGCTCAAGAGCATCCCTGACTTCAAGCTGCCCCATCTTGGGATTGTATAAAGGGACTTGGTTCTCAGGAACTGCCGAGGTCCCAGTCTCTGGAAGTCGTACTCCTTTCATGCCCTCTCAAATTGGGGACCCAACCCTGTTTGGGCCCAAAAATAAGTGGCCTGCCTCCATTTCCCCCTGAGTCTATTCAACCCTAGAGTTAGGGTTGAAACATATCTGTCATAGACCCAGGACAGCCCAACAGCGAACATGTAATAAATGTGGCTTTGGTTTGTCTGTGCCTCAGTTTTCCCATTTGCAAATAGGGTCTGAGCTAATAAACCCATTCGTATTTGCCCAATCAAAAGTCACCCAGTTGCAAAACACACACACATGCACAGGGGTGAAGACTGCAAAATGAACTAGAGCAAATGGAAAAATCCCCCACCCTGCCCCAGTATTGCTACCAGTACCTTTTGATTGGTTAGTTTGGTCACACAGTATTGTTATGTTTTTCTGGGGGGTGAGGGGAATGTGCATCTAATCTTCTTCTCTTGTAAATTCATTTTTGAAAATGTCCTGGTTCAAAAAATGTGTCGGGGGGGGCTTCTTTCAGAGGGCGGGAAAAAGAATAGCAAAAATAATTGTGAAAGTTTTAGTGAAAACTCAAGTACTATTGCACAGGAATAGTCTGTGGTGCCCATTTTCTCCACCCTGCGTCCTGTCTATTTAGATTATACGTTCTTTGAGGCAGGGACTGTCAACTACTTGGTGTATCTGTGCAGCACTTGTTGCGATGGGGGACCTGATCTTGGTCGCCGTGTATCTGTGCACGCCCGGTCTGACGGGGACTTTTTCTCAGTCACCATGTGTCAGAACAGCGCCCGGCACAATGGGGACCAAATCTCAGTTCCGAGATGTCTCTGCCGTGCCCAGTGGGCCAGGGCTACGCTCTTAGTCATGGTGTGTCTGGGCTGCGTCCAGCCTCGTTCACCATGAGTCTAAGTTCCCCATAAGCTGTGCAGCCATGCAGCAGTCTATTTAGTGCCGCGCAGGCGCTGAGGGAAGCAGCCTGGGGACCTACAGGAGGAGGGGTGCCCCTTCCCCAGCCCCAACTCACCCTGCGGCCCTGACCTGGCTGCAGCCGGATCAGGCCCAGGTGTGGGCGGGGCGGCACAGACCCAGCTGAAGCCGGATCAGGCGCAGGCAGGGTGGCACAGACCCAGCTGCAGCCAGATCGGGCCCAGGCGTGGCCTGACCCGGCCCTGTTGGGGCCGGGGGGAGGGATGCCTATCCTCCAGCCCCAGAGCTCCCGCGGCAGGGAGGGGCGCCTCTCCCCCTGGCCTCGCCCAGGTGTTGCTGTGGGGAGAGAGCACTGGGGGTGGGGGGGGAGTCCTCTCTCCCCGCAGTAGCCACCCTCCTGTACCCCAAACCCCTCAGCTCCACCCCAGAGCCTGCACCCCCAGCCAGAGCCTTCACCCCCTGCACCCAACCCTCTGTCCCAGCCCTGAGCCCCTCATCCCCGGCCCCACCCCAGAGCCTGCACCACCAGCCAGAGCCCTCACACCCCTGCATCCCAACTCTCTGCCCCAGCCCTCAACCGCCTCCCAAAAGAACCCCTCAGCCCCACTCCCACCACATGGATTTTGTTACGTGCACCAATATGAAGGTGATGTGTCACACATCACCTCCATTTTGGTGCCCGTAACAAAATTCATTCCGCACGCTGGTGGGAAAAATTAGAGGGGCCACTGCCATGGGTACGTCTACACAGCAATGAAATATGTGGCTGGGCTCGGTCAGCTGACTTGAGCTCATGGGGCTTGGGCTGCAAGGCTATAAAATTGCCACGTAGACATTTGGGCTTGGGCTGAAGTCTAGGCTCTGGGTGCTGTCAGTGATAGGAGACTGGGCTAGATGGGCCTAGATTGTTGGGCTCAATGAGTAGTGATCAACGGCTCGACGTCTAGTTGGCAGCCGGTATCAAGCAGAGTGCCCCAGGGGGTCTGTCCTGGGGCCAGTTTTGTTCAACATCTTCATTAATGATCTGGATGATGGGGTGGACTGCGCCCTCAGCAAGTTCACAGATGACACTAAGCCAGGGGTAGGAGTAGATATGCTGGAGGGTAGGGATAGGGTCCAGAGTGACCTAGACAAATTGGAGGATTGGGCTAAAAGAAATCTGATGATGTTCAACAAGGACAAGTGCAGAGTCCTGCACTTAGGATGTAAGAATCCCATCCACTGCTACAGGCTGGGGACTGAGTGGCTAAGCAGCAGTTCTGCAGAAAAGGACCTGGGGATTACAGTGGACAGGAAGCTGGATATGAGTCAACAATGTGCCCTTGTTGCCAAGAAGGCTAATGGCATATTGGGCTGCATTAGTAGGAGCATTGCCAGCAGATCGAGGGAAGTGATTATTCCCCTCTATTTGGCACTGGTGAGGCCACATCTGGAGTATTGCGTCCAGTTTTGGGCCCCCCCACTACAGAAAGGATGTGGACAAATTGGAGAGTCCAGCGGAGGGAAACGAAAATGATCAGGGGGCTGGGGCACATGACTTATGAGGAGAGGCTGAGGGAACCGGGGTTATTTAGTCTGCAGAAGAGAAGAATGAGGTGGGATTTGATAGCAGCCTTCAGTTACCTGAAGGGGGGTTCCAAAGAGGATGGAGCTTGGCTGTTCTCAGTGGTGGCAGTTGACAGAACAAGGAGCAATGGTCTCAAGTTGCAATGGGGGAGGTGTAGATTGGATATTAGGAAACACTATTTCACTAGGAAGGCGGTGAAGCACTGGAATGCGTTACCTAGGGAGGTGGTGGAATCTCCATCCTTAGAGGTTTTTGCCCATCCTTGACAAAGCCCTGGCTGGGATGATTTAGTTGGGGTTGGTCCTGCTTTGAGCAGGGGGTTGGACTAGATGACCTCCTGAGGTCTCTTCCAACCCTAATCTTCTAGGATTCTATGATCTTGGTGTTGATCCCATATGGCAAAGCCTACAATCTGTTGCTCCAGAGGGCCCCCTCCTTTACCCCAGTTTCCAGGTCTGACTGGTGCTCCACTCCATACCATAAAAATTCAGAGTGTTTCTATGGCTCCAGTTTGCGGTTGTGTCCCTCATGCATGTGTGTCCAGAGAGGAAGCAGGAGCCATTCCTGGGTAGTGCAGGAGCTACCAGTAACATATATCTGGGGCCTGCTGATGGATGGAGACTTGGCCTTTATTGTTTAACCCCAGGCCTTCCTGTTAGTATATAGGCCTGTTTGTTAGCCTGGGGCAGAATTTTGGTCTTGACTTCTGATGTGCTTATATCCTTACTAATAATTGTGAACAAAGACACTGTGTGTTACTTCTACCCAGCCAGATGGGCTTGTTAGTACAATGAGAAGAAAGAGAGTTAAAAGGATTACTGGGTATGGTGAGGAGTATAACATACGAGCATATCCTGGATTGCCTGGCACTTCTCTCAAGCCAAGTTCAAGCAACCAGTTAGGAGGGGCAAGAGGGGATTGGGGGGAGACATAAGAAACACTGAAGGCCAAAGAAAGGCCTGGCGTTGGCCAGAACACAACACCACTCCTTATCCCTCCCATGGGATACAAAAGAGGTGATACCATGACCCCAGACTCACGAAAAGGAACATGACCATACATTGTAAGGGGTAGGACCAGGGGTGTGCACTGTCGATATATTTGGGCCTGCTAAGGAGGTGGGAATAGGGAAACGGGGATACAGGTAAAGGATCTGTGGCATCAGAGCCATGGATATGCTTGCTTGAAACTAACCCCAATAAACAATGCATTGCCTGCAATGTTCCCTCTAATTTTTTCCATCCATGTGCGGAATAAATTTTGTTATGTGCACCGAGGTATGTGCGGATGTGCACCACCAGTGGAAACAAAAACCCTAGATATTATATATATATATTTTTAACAGTTACCAGGGCTAATTACTACAGCCTGGACCGGTTAGGCATTTTAGAACTCACTACTCAAAGAATTAAATTTAAATGTAAGAGAGAAATAAAAATTATTAAATGCATAGACCACTCAAAACACTAAAATAACACACTTTGAAAGAATAAAATTACAGAGAATATATGCGAATTGCGGGAAGTACCAAGAAGTACCAACAACAATAATACAAGTATGTGTTGGGAGGTGAGTGTGAATGAGACTGTGTGTGTATATGAGAGAGAGAGACACACACACACAGAGAGTGTGTGTGTGTGAGTGAGAGAGACACACACACACACACACAGATGCTGTGTGTGTGCTGGCTGCTGGAGAAAGCCATGCACTGTCTCTTTAAGACACTCACTGAAAGCTCTCCTGCTCTGTCCTGAGCCCTGTTTCGCCTCCCCTGCTCTGCGGAGATGGGCTACAGGGGGAGAGGGAGGGAGAGAGAGAGAGTGTGTGTGTGTGAGAGAGAGAGACTGAGACTGTGAGCTGGCTGCTGGGGAAATCTCAGGAACCGTGCACTGTCTCTTTAAGAAAGGTGCCCAGACACTCACCATGCAGACCTCAGACTGCAGCAGCTCTGAGTCCTGAGCCAGGCTGTCCCCTCTGCTCTGTGGAGATGGGGTACTGGGGGAGGGGGACACCCTGACATCAGTATCCTCCTCCCTCCACCCCTAGTCTGCATAGGCAGCAGGAGGGTCTCGGGAGCAGCTGCAGGACAGAGCAATGGGAGGGGAGGGGCACCTGAACACACGTTGCTGGCTGCGCGGAGAACACAGATTGCCTGCACTTTGGACTTCCAGTCTTCTGCTTTCTGTCTGCATGGCAAGAACTGGGGGTGGGGTATGTGTGAAGGGAAAGCCCCCTAACACCTCCCAAGACATAAGCCCAGCTGCAGAGCTGAATCTGCCCCTTCTCACTGCAGGACAAAGGGAAGAGCTCCTCGTACCTGCTCTACGAAGCCAGAGGCCCTGGGGGATCTGCGCTGCTCATTGAGGTGCTGACGAACAATGCAAAGCGAGCCTACCAGGATATCCGGCTCATCCTGAGCCGCAATGGGTCAGTCCTTCCCTGCCGAGCCCGACAATCCTGCATTTCATTGCACAAAGGCCCTTCCCGTGCTCCATGCAATGACCAAATCCGACGCTTCTGGGTCTTAAAACATGATTGTCTCGTGGTTGAGATAAACACAATGCATGAGTTCAAGGGCAATAGTTAGCTAATGCTCTCTGCAGCCTGGCCACAAGTGGGAGACATGGAACATACAGTCTACATGGGGATCAGGGCTGGTCTGTACATGAGGTTGTAATAAGCAAGGCCTTGGGTTGAATTATCAAAAGCACCTAAGTGATTTAGGAGCCATAGTCCCATTTTCAAAAGTGACTTTTGGCCTTTAGGAGCCCAAGTCTTAGCAAATCAATGGGATTCAGGTTCCTAAGTCATGCAGGTTGTTTGGAAAATGTTACCACTGGTTAACTAGAACAGGTGCACCGGGTTAATTTAAATGGGTTTAATTAAACTGGTGCACATCTGTGGCATTAATTTAGATGGAATAAAGGGGCCAAAGGTGTTAACCTAACAACATCACTGTCCAACACAAAAAAGTGTTAAACAAGGTTCGGGGTTTGATATACAGAGACCTTATGCTGCTTAGCCGCACAGCAAATACTCCACTAAAAATCCTTTTGTTAAAGATTCAGAAAAGAAGGCAAAACAGTTAAAGCCTTTGAGATGTAAAGTAGTGAGTAAGGCTTTCATTTTAACAGCTTCCCTTCTAGTTGGAGAGAGTCTTTAGACGTCAAACAAGGGTTTCTCCAGTCTCTTAGATGGTCACAAAGATGGTGATTACTGGTCTTTGTGCTAAAAGATAAGTTAGTTGAGATGAGCTGAAGCTGTTACTGCTGCTGCTAAAGTCTGATCGCATTTTATCTCATGTTTGGGGCTTTGTCTGCACTGCAAAGAGACACACCAGCCGGCTTGGGCTAAGAGGCTGTTTAACTGTGGTGTAGACATTCAGGCTCAGGTCCGAGTTCCAGGACCCCATGAGGGGGGAAGGTCCCAGAGCTCGGGCTCGGATGTCTACACTGCAATTAAACAGCCCCTTAGCGCGAGCCCGAGTCAACTGGCACGGGCCAGACGCAGGTGTCCAATTGCAGTGTAGACATAACCTGGGATTCAGGTCGAGCTGGTAGGGGTGGTGATGTCATCTGAATCCCTATCTTTGGCCTGGTCTGGTCAGGACATCCCCGAGGATTAGGATGAAAGGGGTCTGGGTCCAATAGTCTCCATCTGTTCTTCCCATATTTTCCCCAAAATTGCTTTAAGGACCCCAGAATGTACTGATGCGTGGAATAGCCCAGCCCCTTGTTATCCTGTTCAGCAATTAGGCCTAATTTCCGATTCACCAATTTTGGTTCATTAATTTCTAGTTGCACGTCTTTGGTGTTTAGCAAGGATGATTTCAATATAGCCCTTGAGTTATACTAGTCTGACTTTTTTGTTTTAAACTACTTCATTCTTTCTGTCTTTTTCATACCTTTTCCCATCAGAATTTGTTATTAGGGCAAATATAGTGCCAATCTATAAAAAGGGAAATAAGGAAAACCCAGGGAATTACAGACCAGTCACCTTAACTTCAGTACCTGGAGAGATAATAGAAAAACGAATTAAGCAATCAGTTTGCAAACACCTAGAAGATAAGAAGGTGATAACAGTCAGCATGGATTTGTCAAGAACAGATCATGTCAAACCAACTTAATAGCTTTCTCTGACAGGGTAACAAGCCATGTGGATAGTGGGGGAGCGGTAGATGTGGTATATCTTGACTTTAGTAAGGATTTTGATACTGTCTTCGATGACCTTTTCATAAACAAACTAGGGAAATACCACCTAGATGGAGCTAGGTGAGTGCATAACTGGTTGGAAAACCGTTCCCAGAGTAGTTATCACTGGTTCATAGTCAATCTGGAAGGGCATATCAAGGGAGGGTTCTACAGGGATAACTTCTGAGTTTGGTTCTGTTCCATATCTTCATCAATGATTTAAATAATGGCATAGAAGAGTACACTTATAAAGTTTGCAGATGATACCAAGCTGAGAGGGGTTGCAAGTGCTTTGGAGGGTAGGATTAATATTCAAAATGATCTGGACCTACTGGAGAAATGGTCTGAAGTAAATAGGATGAAATTCAATAAGGACAAATGCAAAGTACTCCATTTAGGAAGGAACAATCAGTTGCACACATACAAAATGGGAAATGACTGCCTAGGAAAGAGTACTGCAGGAAGGGATCTGAGGGGTCAGAGTGGACCACAAGCTAAATATGAGTCAACAGTGTAACACGGCTGGGGGGAGAGGTAGATACGCTGGAGGGTAGGGATAGGGTTCAGAGTGACCTAGACAAATTGGAGGATTGGGCCAAAAGAAATCTGATGATGTTCAACAAGGACAAGTGCAGAGTCCTTAGGATGGAAGAATCCCATCCACTGCTACAGGCTGGGGACTGACTGGCAAGCAGCAGTTCTGCAGAAAAGGACCTGGGGATTACAGTGGACAGGAAGCTGGATATTAGTCAACAATGTGCTCTTGTTGCCAAGAAGGCTAACGGCATATTGGGCTGCATTAGTAGAAGCATTGCCAGCAGATCGAGGGAAGTGATTATTCCCCTCTATTTGGCACTGGTGAGGCCACATCTGGAGTATTGCGTCCAGTTTTGGGCCCCCCCACTACAGAAAGGATGTGGACAAATTGGAGAGAGTCCAGCGGAGGGAAACGAAAATGATTAGGGGTCGGGGCACATGACTTATGAGGAGAGGCTGAGGGAACTCGGCTTGTTTAGTCTGCAGATGAGTGAGGGTGGATTTGATAGCAGCCTTCAACTACCTGAAAGAGGGTTCCAGAGAGAATGGAGCTTGGCTGTTCTCAGTGATGGCAGATAACAGAACAAGGAGCAATGGTCTCAAGTTGCAGTGAGGGAGGTCTAGGTTGGATATTAGGAAACACTATTTCACTAGGAGGGTGGTGAACCACTGGAATGGGTTACCTAGGGAGGTGGTGGAATCTCCTTCCTTAGAGGTTTTTAAGTCCTGGCTTGAAAAAGCCCTGGCTGGGATGATTTAGTTGGTGTTGGCCCTGATTTGAGGAGGGGATTGGACTATATGACCTCCTGAGGTCTCTTCCAACCCTAATCTTCTTTGATTCTGTGACTGCTGCAAAAAAAGGGGACATTGTTCTGGGATGTATTAGCAGGAGTGTTGTAAGCAAGACACGAGAAGTAATTCTTCCACTCTACTCCAGTGCTGATTAGGCCTCAACTGGAGTATTGTGTCCAGTTCTGGGCGCCACATTTCAGGAAGGATGTGGACAAATTGGAGAAAGTCCAGAGAAGAGTGACAAAAATGATTAAAGAACTAGAAAACGTGACCAATGAGGGAAGACTGAAAAAACTGGGTTTGTTTAGTCTGCAGAAGAGAAAACAGAGAGAGGACATAACAGTTTTCAAGTATATAACAGGTTGTCACAAGGAGAAGGGAGAAAAATTGTTCTCTGAGGACAGGACTATCACCGTGCCTCAGTGGGTCATAACTGAGAATACCAAATTCAGGACAAACTGCTGAGAAATAGAGCAGAATCACTCCAAAACTTGTGGTTATTCTTCCATAAGATAAACCGAACCAGCAACAAAATTAATCTTCTGTCTCACCACACTGGCTAACGAGAAGTCAGAACTGCAGCCTCCTTAGGCATTCCAGTCCTTTTTTCAACACCCAGACGCTCGACTTAATGAGGAGTGGTTATTTAAAACCAATTTTATCAACCAAAGGATTATTCTGAGCCCAAAGAAGGAGCCACATACCCAGGTCAATATATAACTCAGATTTTACCCAATAATTACACTCTTGCCAATCCTTTAGTATCTACTATCTAAAGGTTTATTTATAAGAGAAAAGAAAACTCTATATGAGAGTTAAAATTGGTTAAAGGAATCAAATACATACACATGTTGCAAAGTTCTTGTGTCAGGCTTGAAATAAACCGTTGGCCTGTTAAGTCTCTGGTTGCTTCCAAATGATTGGAAGGTCCTCAGTCCTTTGGATGCTCCCGTTAGTATAAGTCCATAGTCCAGAGATCACAGCAGGAAAGAGGCAAAATTGAGATGTTTCCAGGGCCTTTTATAGCTTCTGCCCTATGGAGGGAAACCCATTGTTCCAAGCAAAGCCCTCAGCACAATCTGTTTAAAAGTACAGGCCGAGATGGAGTTCAGCACCACATGATCTAGTCCAGGGGTTCTCAAACCGGGGGTCGGGACCCCTCAGGAGGTCGCAAGGTTATTACATGGGGGGTCACAAGCTTCAGCCTCCACCCCAAACCCTGCTTTGCCTCTAGCATTTATAATGGTGTTAAATATATATAAAAAGTGTTTTTAATTTATAAGGGGAGTCACACTCAGAGGCTTGCTGTGTGAAAGGGGTCACCGGTACAAAAGTTTGAGAACCACTGATCTAGTCATATGCCCTTGCATGCTTCAATGAGTCATAGCAGGGGCCATTAGCAATATTCTGGCTGGAAAGTCCATCAGGTGGGGATAAGCTTCTGCTATGGCCCATTGTATTTGTTGATGGGTCATCAACTTGAATACTCCATTCACAATGTGCTGGCTAGACTGGATGTAAATACCTTGTGGGTGTTACCACAGGAGCGAACACATTTGAAATACAGGTACATAGTCAATATTCATAACTTCAGGTACTAAAACGATACATGCATACAAATAGGGTAATCATAGTCAGCAAACCATAACCTTTCCTTTGACCCCTTACATGACATACTTGTATAAGATTTATTGCAATAGTATAACCGTGGTAGCAACAATAATATACCTGATCATATTTTAATCAGATAATGTCACAAGGATAAGAAACAACGGGCATAAATTGCAGCAAGGGCAGTTTAGGTTGGATATTAGGAAAAACTTCGTAACTGTCAGGGTGGTAAACCACTGGAATAAATTACCTGGGAATGTTGTGGAATCTGCATCATTGGAGATTTTTAAGAGCAGGTTAGATAAACACCTGTCAGGTATGGTCTAGATCAGCGTTTCTCAAACGGGGGTCCCTGAGGGTACCCCAGGGTGTCCGCAGGCCCCACTGATCAACTTCTCCCCGTCCCTCCCAAAACTCCTCCCCCTTCCTCCCAGCACCTCCTGCACGCTAAAGATCCGGGGGTGCAGTGGGGCTAAGGCAGGCTTCCTACATGCCCTGGCTCCACATCACTCCTGGATGCTGCTGGCAAGTCCCTGTGGCCCCTGGGGGGGACCAAGGGGTCTCGGCACACTGCCCCAGCCCTGAGTGCCAACTCTGCAGCTCCCATTGGCTGGGAACTGCGGCCAATGGGAGCTGTGGGGGCGGTGTCTGCGGGCAGGGGCAGCTCGCAGAGATCCCCTGGCCCCCCAACCTAGGAGCCGCTGCCAGAGGGATGTGCCGGTCGCTTTTGGGAGCCGCCCGAGGTAAGTGCTGCCCGGACAGAGCCCGTACCCCCAGCCCAGAGCCCACACCCCGCATCCAAAATCCCTCCCAGAGCCCGCACCCCGAACTCCCTTGTGCACCCCAACACCCTACCCCAGCCTGGTGAAAGTAAGTGAGGGTAGGAGAGAGCGAGCGACGGAAGGAGGGGGTGGAGTGAGCTGGGGGTGGAATGAGCGAGGGGCAGGGCCTCCGAGAAGGAGCAGGGCGGGGCATGGCCTCAGGGAAGTGGGCAGAGTGTGGGGACTTGGGGATTCCTGAAAATGTTTAAATCAAAATGGGGGTTCTTGGGTTGCTAAAATTTGAGAACCGCTGGTCTAGGTAATACTTAGTCTTGCATTGAGTGCAGGGCACTGGACTAGCTGACCTCTCAAGGTCCCTTCCAGTTCTATGATTATATAGAGTACTGTGACATCTTATGAATTTTTACATTTTTTTTACAGTTGATCTCACAATTAGGGTAAATTTGCCAGCCCACTTATCACAACACATCTCTGAGTGGACTCTCTTATATCCGTGCAAGAAAGGCTTAATTGGAGGTAGCTTAAACCTCTTCCCAAACCATTTACATTGTTATGGATTCAGAGAAGAGCTGCAAGAGCAATCTGAGGGCTGGAAAACCTGCCTCATAGCCAAGGACTGAAGGAGCTCGATCAATGTAGTTTATCTCAGAGAAGGTTAAGACGTCATGTGATCCTGCAAAAAGAAAAGGAGGACTTGTGGCACCTTAGAGACTAACCAATTTATTTGAGCATGAGCTTTCGTGAGCTGTAGCTCACGAAAGCTCATGCTCAAATAAATTGGTTAGTCTCTAAGGTGCCACAAGTCCTCCTTTTCTGTTTGCGAATACAGACTAACACGGCTGTTCCTCTGAAACCTGTCATGTGATCCTGGTCTATAAGCACCGACATGGGGAGGGGTTTTCTGAGACCAGAGGGTTCTTCAACCTTCAGACAAAAGCAGAGCGAGATCCACTGGCTGGGAGCTGAAGGGAGACAAATTCAGGCTGGAACAAGGAGCCCAAGGTTACCAGGGAGGGGAAGGAACCATTGGAACAGCTCCCCAAGGGACGAGGTGGATTCTCCATCACAGGGAGTCTGTCAGTGGAGATGAGATGTCTTTTCTCAAAGCCCTGCTCTAGCTCAGCCAGGAGTGACTGGGCTGGAGGCAGGAATCGCTGGAGGAGATTCTCTGGCCTGGGTTAGGCAGGATGGGCACAATGGACCTTTGACATCTCTGAGATAAATTCAGTACACTGGGAGCCTTCAAGCTCTCTCTGTGAGGCAGGTGATTCATTCTTGTGGCTCTTCTCTGAGCCCTTCCTCGCTCGTCTCTATCCTGTGCGAAGCACGAACCCCCTGGACCAGCATCTAGGAATGGTCTCTCATGCTGTATAGAAGTGACTCCCTGTCCCTTGATGTCCCCCTGTTCCCATGCAGGGCACAGATGTCCGAGGGGGCCCGGCACAGCTTTGACAAGAAGGGGGTGATCACAGTCAGTGGGCAGGACCGTCAGCAGAGGCCAGTGGCCCTGGAGCAGGCCCTGGAGCTGGCGATCGAGGCCGGGGCCCAGGACGTGTGGGAAGAAGATGAGGAGGAGGAGCGAGCAGTTCTGAAGGTGTGTGTGTGTTAGTCAGGGTGCCCCCGTCATAGGGGCAAGTCCATTGTGGCCCTTGCCACAGGGCCCTCCCACTGCTGCAGGGCAGATTGCTGGGAGAACGTGGGACTCCGGAGTGGGAGATACCATCAGCCAGTGGGGGGCAGCGGCTGTTGTAATTGCTCAGGCACCAATCGGGGCCCACCTGGTGCTAATCTGCCTCGGGGGACAGGTGTGGAGATATGTGGGGATCTGGCTGGTTCTGATCCAGCCCAGGTGACAGGGGAGATACATGAGGGTCTGGTTGCTGCTGATATGGCCGGGGAAGGGGAGGAATCGTGGGGATCTGGCATTGCTCCGGCCCAGGGGAGGGGAGAGATGTGGGGGTCTGGCTGGCGTGGCTCTGGCTCAGGCGTATTATACACGGGATCCGTGGGAGGCATTGGGAGGGTATGCTTTGCATTTACCCTCGAGAATGCTATGGGAGCATAAGGAGGTTGTAAACCCACCCCTCCACAGGGTCTTCCCTGGCTGGCATGGGCATCGCATGCTGCCCTCTGTCCCATTCCCTGCTTCCCCAGGGGGCCTGTGTATGAGTGAGAGCTGCCCCAAGGCTGCTCTAGCATACACCTAGGGGCTTGTCCTGTACGCCCTGTCCCACCGGAGTGACTGCATGGGCCCCCCTTTGCTGCCGTTATTCCTGGGGTGGGCGGGTTAAATCCCCTGGAGCCGCAGTGCAGGGACAGGGTGAATGTGGGTCAGACGGCAAGTTAGATGGTGGCCAGCACCAGGCATTGAACTGGCAACAGCCTGGTCTGAAGAGGCAGGCTCTACAAATCAAGCCCCGTGGGGGTGGCATGGTCTGTTCAGCGGGCACCTATGCTGCGGCCCGGGGGGCCAGCGGGCAGGTTTGCAGCCCCTCACAGCCCCTGTCCTGTCCTCTCCCCTCAGTTTGTGTGTGAGGTGCCATCTCTGCACCGGGTGCGGGAGAAGCTGGACTCACGGGGGCTACAGTCGCTCTCCACTGCCCTGGAGTTCATCCCCAATGCCAGGGTGCGGCTGTCAGATGAGGAGATGGAGCGGGCATCCCAGCTGCTGGCCACGCTGGGCGACTGCCAGGAGGTGATCCGGGTCTACGACAACATCGAGTAGGGGCCAGCGCAGGGGGGTAGCAGATGGAAATCCGCCCAGATAGATGGTGACCAGGCATGTCGTTCCCAGCTTGGCCTAGTCCTGGCCTAAGATCAGCCCATATGGAGGGCAACGGTTGACAGCCTGAGATCCTCTCGTATGGACGGCAACCTGTGTGTGGTTCACAATTTGGCCTAGTCCATTGGATCAGGAGGCCCTGGGGCAACCAGTTCAGGACTCTGCCTCATCCTGCCCTGGGATTGGACCCCTGAACTCCACGTGGTTTAGGGCTCAGCCCAAGATCGGGCTTAATTTGAGATTTCTTCCCAGGTTGAACCATCCCCATGGCTGTCGGGCCATTAGTAACAGGTGCAGCTCTCTAGGTGTCAGCACTGGGTGCAGTCTGGCGGCCCTCTCAGGAGCAGAAGCCCTTGCTCCTGAGGATGGGGCGTGTTCTCTGAGGCACCTTATGGCTCTTAACTCCGTCCGCTGGGATTCGTGACCTGAATGCCTTGGCTCCCCTCTTGAATCTGATCCAGCAGGCCTTCTGCAGTAAGCATGATGTTCTGGCACGTCCCCCACCCCTTGCCTCTCTCCCACCGTGGTGGGTGGAGGGAGGGAGCTTCCTCTGCACCCATGCAGCACCGAATGCTCTGTGGATAAAGAGTAACAGTGTGCCAAGGCGATGACAACCTACGGACTTAACACCTCCCTGTTGTGTGACCCCCTGTTCGCACCCCCAGCAGGAGAACAATAGGGAGTGCATCCCACCCTCCAAATGTACTGTCCAGGGCGGGCTGCCTTTCCCATACACTGCTTAATAAATGGTTTGCTTGTCAGTGCTGGGAAGACTTTGTCCATAACTTGGTTCTCACTAAAGTGTTGGTATGTCCATCCAAATGTAAATGCACCAGGAAGGGCAGAGGGTGCAGCATTAGGAGAAGGGGGCCTTTTGGGGGTCACAGAGTATGGGTGTTGAATGAGCAGTTGACTGGCAGGTAAACGGGATGGTGACAAACTGTTAATGGTTCAAAAGAGCCACAAGAATGATTTGAGGTCTGGAAAATCTGCTGTATAGTGAGAGAGTGGAGGAGTATTCTTCTATTTAGTGAAGAGAAGGATAAGAGGTGACATGGTCTGTAAGCACCTAAATGAGGAGGGAATTGCTGAGAGCAGAAGGCTGTTTAATTCCCAGACAAAGGCAGAGCAAAATCCACAGGATGGGAGCTGAAGGGAGAAAAATTCAGGCTGGGAACAAGGGGCCAGTGTTTCTCAGGGAGGGGACTTCACCATTGGAACAGCTTCCCTATGAGGGGGTGGATTTTCCATCACTGGGAGTCTGTCAGTGGAGATGGGGTGTCTCTTTTTCAAAGCCCCAGTCTAGCTCAGCCAGGAGTTATTGGGTCAGAGGTGATACCGCAAAGATTCCCTAGACTTCATTTTGTGTCCCTAGCTTCCATTTTGAATAGGCAAAAGTCACTCCACCATTAGAAGCTGCAGTTCACATGGTACTTCACTGCTGAAAGTAGGCCAAAAGGTCGAAAGTTCAGCGGAGGGAGGGAAGTGTGGAATAGAATTGGTAGAAAGCCGAAAAGGTGCAGAATAACTCAGTGATAAACAACTAGCAATAAATATGCACCCTAAAGATCTGATAGCTGACAGGACAGTATAAAAGGCAGATGGTTAAGACTATTCAAACAGTTAGGAGTGGAGTGAATGAAAAGATCGAGCAGAGAGGTGACCTGAAAGGGTGGAGCCAAATGGAGTGAAGCAACCTGAAAAACCAGCAGCAGAGTCAACACAGCAAAATCAGCAGATAAAGTGAGTCTGTTAGTTACAATTCTAGTATAGCACAGTACAGTGTAGTATTAATATGTGTGTGCGTGAGGATGTATGAGTGTTAATTTTGCTTTATATATGTAAAACTCAAAGTACATTTTAAGATTGCTGTGAGTGATCTGTTGCAGACTGGCCATCTGTAATGGAGCGCAACCACTTAGAATCATTTAAACTGTATACTATTGCAGTTTAAATGCTCTTTAACTTGTGTTAATAAGGGATTTGTGCCTTTAGATTATTAGTATATAAGGGATTATTATTTTCACCAATAAAAAGGAGCCTAGTTTTGGAAAGAATACTGCTTGTGTCAATCATTTTATCAGAAAGTTATATCTGTGTTGGCCAAGTTTTTCCCTAACTACTTTGGAGACCCAGACCGCGGGAAGGATAGATTAAGAGGGCGATAGGCAGGTTATTTAAGGGTGCCCCAACACCAGTTTCTCGGAATAACAAACTGGTGAGCCATCCAGGAGTTGTTAAGGAAAGAAGGACGATTGAAAGAGTCAGTTTAACACAAGGCAGTTAGTGGTATAGATAAATTTGTGGGACAATTGAGAGTGGCACATGACCTTGTGGACAAGGACTGTCTCAATAAAGACTTGGGGCTACTATAATCCCATGTGCATGGCCTTGTGGATGGGGATGGTCTTGTAAGGACCAGGCACTGACACAGTCCCGTATGTATGACCTTGTGAATAAGGATCTTCCTATTAGGACCAGGCATGCATGACTGAGGAGTCCTGTGAAACTTTTATCTGTTGTTGTTACAGCATAGGTCTGGGAGGTGCAGAACTATGAGAGACAATCCCATAAGCAAGCAAGAGGGTAGGAACTAGGGGCATAAACTATGTTTCTGCTATAGTCCACTCAGGAAACTTAAGACTCTGGTATTATTACCTGGCTACGTGTGTAAAAATATCAGAATGACAGCAAAGAAAGTAGAATTAAGTACTATTAAAGACATGGTATTAGGAAAAGAGCTAAAGGATTTTGTTTTAAAATATGGAGACAATCCTTCGAAGTGTGGTGCTTTTATCTGTCCTGATGCATATCAACTATGGAAGCAATGGGATCAGTGAGTTAAGCCTGAGAGAAAAAGAATCTTTTCAAGAGCTCCAGACAGGTTTGCAAATGGTAGCTGCAGTATTAAATAAAGAAGTAAGTAGTCTGAGGATAAGGATGCAGGAATTACAGGAGAAAGAAATAGCGAGAGAAAAGAAGTATGGTTTAAAATTACAGAAGCTAGAGGAAGACAAGGTAGCAAGGGACAAGGAATTGGCTAGTCTAAGAGTGGAGGCTGATGTGCTGAGAGTTACTATGTTAACACAAAAAGAAAAGGAGGACTTGTGGCACCTTAGCGACTAACCAATTTATTTGAGCATAAGCTTTCGTGAGCTACAGCTCACTTCATCGGTGAAGTGAGCTGTAGTGAGCTGTAGCTCATGAAAGCTTATGCTCAAATAAATTGGTTAGTCTCTAAGGTGCCACAAGTCCTCCTTTTCTTTTTTGCGAATACAGACTAACACGGCTGCTACTCTGAAACCTGTCATTATGTTAACACAGACCATAGGCGCCGACTCCGTGTGTGCTCCGGGGCTGGATCACCCATAGGGGAAAATTAGTGGGTGTTCTGCACCCCTTGGCAGCCAGCAAGGTAGACAGAATGGGGGGAAGCGAGATAAAGAGGACAATAAAGGTAGAAATTTTAGTAGGAGACAGTGGAGAACCCCTGACTCATGGAAGAGTTTAGTTTGGAAACTATTGTTGAAGTATGAGAACAGGGACCAAACTGACAGGCCACCCACTGCAGAACTGCTTCAAAGGCTGGCATACCACGAAAAAGCTGCACCTACAGGTCCCCTGCCTGCCGAGAAAATAGCATAGGGAGGCTGGACACCCCTGTTTTCGCAGTATCAGCACAAGATCCTGCTGGCTTGGTGGCACATTTAGATCAGGATACCTGATCGATTTTTTAAAAGTAGGTCTTTTCACAGATTCTGAGTGGGTACTAAGAGCTATAGTAGACTGGATGTCCCAGTGGCGGAAAAGAGAAATGAGATCAGCAGGTAACAAGCCTGTTGCACATGCCAAGAAATTGTCTTACCTTTGGAATTTAGCACAGCAGAGAGAACAGCTGGTACAAATGGGAAAGGTAAGGGGTCATAAGAAAGAGACTGAGGAGGCTCAGTGGAATAACAGTGCAGACGCGGAGGCTAAGGAAGGCGCTAACGAGGGGACATTGTGGCAACCGTAATTCCAGTTAGTTCCAGTAGCAGTAGAAGGGGATAAAACAGAACAAATAGGTCTAATATCCCTACAGGAAAAAAAGATCCAGCAATAAAAAGGCTTGTAGCTAAAGGGGAATATCAAGGGTGGAAAATTTGGCTGCATAATACAGGATTCATTTTAGCTACCAAAATGGGGAAAATGTGCCAGTAAGGGTTGTCCCAACTGAAACAAGATCTGAAGTGATAACCCTAGTCCATAATAATGGACATCTAGACATGGAGAAAACACTTAGCAGGCTGCAAGCAGCAGCTGGTGGCCAAATATGAGAACTGATATGGAGCAGTATGTAAATAATTGCTTGCCTTGTGCTGCCAGTAATGAAGATATTGGACTGGTAGAAGGACCCCCCCCCCCCCGAGTCATCAAAGGATAGAGGGTCCCTGGGCCAGAATACAAATTGATTGTATTCTTCCATTACCTTAAACCGAAAAAGGAAACCAATGTTGTCTGGTAATAATTCAGTGTGAGACAAAAGGAAAGAGTGAAGTGAAAAATGGTGTTTCTCTCCTGTCACTCGCCCCTGGGGGGTGTCACAGCCAGATGGAGCTTTGGGACAGGCACTGAAGATGAATCCTGCATCCAAATAGGGGCCACAGAAATCAGAGAAGTCCCAGAATTGGGAAAGCGTAAGAGGACCCTGCCCTGCTCCCTGCATCATGATGCCCACTACAGAGCCCCCCCCACCTGCTCCCTGCAGCACAGCACCCCCTACTGAGCCCCCACTCCACTCCTTGCATCACAATGCCCCCTACTGAGCACCCATCCCACTCTCTGCAGTGCTCCCTAGCACCACACTGGGTTACTGGGCTAAGCAGCACTCCCATTGCCCTCCAGGCTGTGTATTGTGAGGGCCCCTGAAAGTAGGCCAGGCTCAAGGGTCGGGCAACCATGCTGGGGTGGCTGCATCTGCCGCCTTTCCCGATTCATTCCACTGCATGTGCTCCTGGACCCTGCCCGCGGGCCAAGTTAGGGTCAGCATGGCATGCGGGGTCCCATAGCAACAGTCACCCGCACGGCAGGGGGGTCCACTGAGGAGCAACAGGTGGTGCCCTTCCCAAGCGCCACCTACAACACAAGCTTGGACCTGAAGACAAACAATAAGCCCCACCTTTTCCGCCATTGAACATGTGGGTTATTGTTCATAGACGGGAATTCACTGGACTTTAACCTAACTTTGCGTGTTTGTACCACTGTGTTTTACTTAATAAAACATATGTGATTTGGGATTTCATTTCATGTCAATATTCCTTGACCCTGGGCACTTTACAAAGTTGAGAAGTTGATTACAATGACAAACCATGACAATGCTATAGAAAAACTGGTATTTTGTTCTGAGTTTTTCCTTCAATTTATTTGAAAGTTCCAGAAAAAACAACAACCTCACAAAACAAATGTTAAAAGTACAAATATTGGGAATGCAACATTTCCATCACAGCCAGTCATCTCAATACAGCCTCCACAGCTGAGAGCATGGTAGAGGTTAACCGATTTGTTATCCACAACACAAATACGGGACGTGTGACTCTAACTCACAGCCTCCTTCACATCCCAGTGAGTGTTCAAATCTCCAAGCAGCCTGACAAGATCTCCCCAGTGGAGCTATGGCCAACTTACTCCAGCTGGGGATCTGGGCCATTGACTCTAATGAAGCTACAGACAATTGACACCAGCTGGGGATCTGGCCCCATTGACTCTGTTGGGGCTATACCTGATGTATGCCAGCTGGGAATCTAGTTTAGCAGACTATACTCCTTGTCTAGTTAGATCTGCAAGCTGAGATCTCAGAGACATAGGCTGTTACTAGTGACCCAAACTCAGTGACTGAATAGTTTAAATGTTTTGATTCCAGCCTTTCAATCTTCCCCTGGATGAAAAGTTTTTGCTCTCCCAATGCAGTTCTGCCTGGGGAAGCTCCCAGCCAGCAGATCTCTTTCTGCCTTTGTCTGTGAGATCAAAGACCCCTCAGAAATCGAGAGAAATGAATCTAGTTGGGGAGTGAGTTCTAAGTGGATTGTGGGACAAGTCAGCACAAGAAGATCTGTTTGATGTTCCCAGTGCACATCTGCCTGGGTGCAACCACATTGTGTTGGCAGGGCAATGTATAGCCTTTATTGAAAAGAGCCGGTTGGAACTTTTGTGATGCCATATGTCTCCGTCAGAAAATGCCATTTCATTGAGTGGAAATACATCGATTTCAATGAAATTTCAGTTAGGAAAAAAACTGGAACAAAATGCTTTGACCTTTAGCGGAACATTTTGATTTCCCATTTCCAGATGATGTTTCTTTTCAATTTTTTAAATTGCGTATTACATATATTTTTAAAATTGTATATTATGGTATATAATAAAGAATGAGAGAGTCTAACCCAGAAGAAATTGTTTTTGCTAACACTAGATGTTCCCTCCCCCTCCCCCACAGATTTTGTTTTAGGGGAAGTTTTGAATTTGTTTCTTTTCATTCTGTTTTGGAATGGATATTTCCCCCCCAAAAAATCACAGAATTTCCCATGAAATGGAAAACCCATGTTCAGTCCAGATCCATCTATGAGTCCACTGTGTCGCTGCTTTAGCCCTATCAGGAGAGGCAGTTGCATGTCCAACTGTGTGTAACCCTCTGCTGCCCAGGCAACATATTGTGGTTTGTAATTCCCACCATGTCTCTGAGTTAGCACAAACATTGGAGGCTTGTGATGTTAGACCCATAGTCCCCATGGCGAGCACCATTATGTGGGTGTGGTGGAGGGCTGCAAGGCTGTGTGGGTCCTTTGGTGCTGCAGATAGCCTGAGCTCTGCCGGAAGCTCTTGCCGCACTGGTGGCAGCGGTAAGGTTTTTCACCGGTGTGGATGCGCTGGTGGGTGAGCAGGTTGGAGTTCTGGCTGAAGGCCTTGCCACACTGCGGGCACTTGTATGGGCGTTCACCGGTGTGGGTGGTCTGGTGCTGGATGTAGGTGGAGCTCTGGCTGAAGCCCTTGCCGCATTGGTGGCAGCGGTAGGGTCGCTCCCCAGTGTGGGTGCGCTGGTGGGTAACCAGATGGGCGCTGCGCCCAAAGGCGCGCCCGCAGTCCGGGCACTTGTAGGGCCGCTCACCGGTGTGTGAGGCCTGGTGAGTGATGAGGTTGGAGCTCTGGCTGAAGGCTTTGCCGCATTGGTGGCAGTGGTAGGATCTCTCACCTGTGTGGGCCCGGCGGTGCTGGGCCAGGGCCGAGCTCTGCCCAAAGCACTTCCCGCACTCACCGCATTGGTATGGTTTCTCACCGGTGTGGATGCGAAGGTGCTGGGCCAGTGTGGAGCCCTGTGTGAAGCTGCGCCCGCACTCGGGGCACTGGTACGGCTTCTCCGCCAGGTGCACGCCTTGGTGCTTGAGCAGGGACGAGCGCTCCACGAAGACCCGTCCGCACTGGGGGCACTCGTGGCGCTTGACCCCCGCGTGCACCCGCTGGTGGGTCAGCAGGTTGGCATTCTGGCTGAATCCGCGGCCGCACTGTGGGCAGCGGTAGGGCTTCTCGCCCGTGTGGGTGCGCCGGTGGGTGGTCAGGTTGGAGCTCTGGGCGAAGCGCTTGCCGCAGTCAGGGCACTGGTAGGGGCGCTCCCCGCGGTGAATGCGCTGGTGTTGGCACAGGGCTGAGCTCCAGCTGAAGCGCTTGCCGCAGTCAGGGCACTGGTAGGGGCGCTCCCCGGTATGCGTGATCTGGTGCTGCAGCAGGTGGGAGCTCTGCCCAAAGGTCTTGTCGCACTCGCTGCACCTGAATGGCTTCTCAGCTGGCTGGGGGGCAGAGGTGAGATCTCCAAGTGCCCCATCCAGCTGAGGGGCAAGGGTGGGATCCTCAAACACCTCTTCTTTGTTGCACCGGAAGGGCTTGTCCTGCTGGGGGTTAGCAGTGGGATCCCTGGGTACTTCGTCCCCACAGCCAGTGGAGTCTGCCAGGTTCTCCCAGAGGGAGAATGGGCACAGGGAGCTGAGGGCAGAGGGGGCAGTGTTGGTACCTTCCTTGCTCAGCTTCCTGTCAACAGCTGGAATGAAGAGACAATCCAGATGAGAGTCAGTCTGTTGTTATAACATCTACGGCAGGGGCACCTGTGAATGGGGATGGTGCAGGGCTTAGGGCACTGGACCGGGAGTCAGGAGATCTGGGTTCAATTTCCTGCTCTGAAACGAACTTCCTGAGTGATGCTGGGTGAACCTCTCTGGGTCTCACCTTTAGCCTGATCCTTCCTAGCCTCACAGGGGCTGCGTGTGGCTAAACTCACAAATGACTGTGAGATGCTCAGACCTGGCACCGGTGAGGCCAGATAAATAACACGGATAGATACATGTGCCAAATAAGAGCAGGGCCCCGTTGGGCCGGGCACTGCACAGACAGAGTGACGGAGAGTGGGGCCCTGTCATGCTGGGCGATGCACAGACACCCAGTGACCGAGATCAGGGCCCCGTCATGCTGGGCGATGCACAGATATGCAGTAAGGGCGGGGGATGGAGAAATGATTTGTTACCCGTTTCAAGGGGTTCCTCCTTTATGTCACAAAGAAGCTCACGTTGGTGTCCTGTTTCCGGGAGAGCTTGGGGCTTCTCTTTGGGGATAGAAAGCAGCTCATAGTGGGGTCTTGCCTTTCCCTCCTCCTTCTGGGATAGACATTCTGGATGGAGCTGCGGCTGGTCCAGCTGGGAACCGGGAGATTCCCATAATGCCCCAGGGGATGCCATCTTCTCCCAGGCCACTTGTTCAACCTTCACCGGCATGCACCCTGACCTGGGGAGGAGCCGAACAGGTCACCATGGAGCCAGGGCCTGGGAGGACCCACGGGGGAGAGGGGAGACTGCAGGGAATGTGCCCCAGAGCCGGGGGGAGGGGAGCACAGACCCGCGCTCAATCCCCAGAGCCAGCAGGGGGCGCTGTGGGGCTGGAGCGGGGGAGAGGCCGGTAGCCTTGGCTAGAGCCAGGCTGGGTCTGTCGGAGCCTCCCCCAGGCACAGCTCAGCCGATGCTCCCCGGCCCCCAGCCCGCCCCCACTACCCCAGCCCCGTTCCCAGCCCATACTGCCCCGGAGCTGGCTGCGGGAGCGGGGGTCTCTCCAGGCCGGTCCCCTCCTCCCGGCAGCGGCTTCTCCCGGGCAGCGATTTCCTGCCTCCCTCCCCGGGTGCCGCCTCTCGCGGCAGCCCGGCGCCCCGCACTCACCGCCCGGCTGGGGCGATCCCCCCAGACCCGCTGCTCACGCGCGGGCCAGACCTGGGGACCGCGCTGTCAGGAAGGTCCCTCCGCTATCCTGTCCCCGTCCCAGCCGTCTGCTCTGCGAAGTGGCAGACCCAGGAGTCACTGGGCTTAACCCTTCCCACCCCAGCCATGACGCTGCATGAGCCGCTCAATGCATTGTGAGAAATGTGGCAGATCCCCCACGGGTGTAAACTGGGCTCAATGGGGACTAGGGTGACCAGAGAGCAAGTGTGAAAAATTGGGATAAAGGGTGCAGGGTAATAGGCACCTATATAAGAAAAAGGCTCTGAAGTTTGGGACTGTCCCTATAAAATCGGGACATCTGGTCACCCTAGTGGGGGCAGATCCCCAACTGATGTAAATCGGCAACACTCCATTGAGGTGACACTGATTTACACCAGCGAAGGATCTGACCCTGGGGCATCTTTGACATCTCTGTGTTAGGCAAAAATTCCCCAGAATTATCTTGCCACCCTTCAGGCCTTCTCTCTGTCCTAGCCTTTCGGCCTATTGTCTGTCTTTCCGCTATTCCTCTGGCCAAATGTCATTGCAGCCTCCACACGTGGCCTGGAAGTTTCTCCCTCAACACCTGAGAGACTAGACTCCCTCTTATACTGCTGGTGTATTCTGTGAGCAACCTCTGCCTCCTGCCCTACAGTTGTTTATAACAGCTTGGATTTAGAGTCATGGAGCTCATGGCCAGAAGGGCCCATTGTGCCCATCTGGGTCAGGCTCCTGCCTCACCCAGGCCAGAGAATCTCCCCCAGGATTCCTAACTCCTGGCTGAGCTAGAGCAGAGCTTTGAGAGAGAGACGCCCCACCTCCACTGACAGACTCCCAGGGATGGAGAATTCACCCCATCCTAAGGGGAGCTCTCCCAATGGTTCATTCCCCTCCCAGATAAACACTGCCCCCTAATTCCCAGCCTCCATTTGTCTCCCTTCTGCTCCCAGACAGTGGATCATGCTCTGCCTAGACTGGAGGATAAAGAGCCCTCTGCTCTCAGCCATCCCTTCCATGTCAGTGCATACACCGGGATCACGTCACCTCTTAACCTTTTCTCGAATAAACGAAACCCATTGAAGTCCTTTGGTACCTCACTATTGGCAGGTGTGGCAGGATTTTATTTTTTAAAATAACATCGATGTATCACATCAGTTTGGTTTGAAGCAATTTTTTCAAAATTTATATAAATTTTCACAGTTGTGGGAAATTATAGGAGGTCCAACAAGGTGTGTGGGGGGGAGATGTCAGACAATAATTATTTAATGATGGTAGACCTCGAGATTAAAAAAGTTAAAGCTTTATAGTTACTAAAACACTAATGGTCAATGTCACATGTCAAAATAAAACAAGGCATGTAGCCTTAAATCAAACTCTAGTTCTCAAGCAGCATGTTTCTTGCTTTACCTATCTGTAAATTTTTATTATTACAGCGGAAATTGTTTTTCATCTATGGGTGTGTGTGGATGGTGAAATTGACATTTATCGGCAGTTACCAATAAAAATATAACCTTAACTATAGAGCAGGTTTTCCAGACCTCAAATAGCTCCTGTAGCTCGTCTCTGAAACCCTTCTCCAATGGTGGGAGAGCTGTGCTTTGCCATCAAAGGCCCAAATGCTGCTCTCACTTCCCTGGGATTTCCCCCGATAGACTTTTGTGAGAACAGTGCTGTGACACCAATAGACAAGGTGCCAGCTCATGCCAAGGCCCCTAGGCCTCACTGAATACTGACAGATGCATAGCTGGAAACCAGACCGGTTCGCCTGTGTGTTAGCATTGTTAAAATATATATTAGCTTCATAGAAATGTGTTCTGTGTTTGGACTTTATAAAATGCTTGTGAGTTGCTGCAGGCATTGATCTCAATTATAATATCTGAATCTTCTATTATAAGGTAATATTTAAGTGTTTGCTCTGTAACTATTAAAGTGTTTGCTATGAAACTGGAAACCCTTACAGTCAGGAGACGAGCATCACCACATGTGCGATACTCGTTTACCACGAGAGGTGTCACCTCCTGCCCAACAAAAGAAGGCCCATAGACACCAGACAAACCATTGTGGAGTGGAACCAAAATACTTTGTTGATTGTTTTCCCCACAAAAAGGGGACATGCGCTTGTCCCAGCAGGGTTTGAACTCTGGGGGAAGGGAATCAAATCCCCCTCAAGAAGAAATTGTTATCACTCTGCTGCTTGGAATGCAGAGAGGGTGATATTACTGAGTTGAAGCAAGCTGCTTAGCTCCAGAGGATTTATAGTGCTTGCACATTACAACAGATTTTATCACCTTTTGGAACCTAAGACTGTAACTCATTTGTGTGTGTAAGTTACCGGCTTCAACTTTGTGATGTCAAAGTCAGATTCAGGAGTGGTAGATACGCTGGAGGGGAGGGATAGGATACAGAAGGACCTAGACAAATTGGAGGATTGGGCCAAAAGAAATCTGATGAGGTTCAATAAGGATAAGTGCAGGGTCCTGCAATTAGGATGGAAGAATCCAATGCACCGCTACAGACTAGGGACCGAATGGCTAGGCAGCAGTTCTGCAGAAAAGGACCTAGGGGTGACAGTGGACGAGAAGCTGGATATGAGTCAGCAGTGTGCCCTTGTTGCCAAGAAGGCCAATGGCATTTTGGGATGTATAAGTAGGGGCATAGCGAGCAGATCGAGGGACGTGATCGTTCCCCTCTATTCGACATTGGTGAGGCCTCATCTGGAGTACTGTGTCCAGTTTTGGGCCCCACACTACAAGAAGGATGTGGATAAATTGGAGAGAGTCCAGCGAAGGGCAACAAAAATGATTAGGGGTCTAGAACACATGACTTATGAGGAGAGGCTGAGGGAGCTGGGATTGTTTAGCCTGCAGAAGAGAAGAATGAGGGGGGATTTGATAGCTGCTTTCAACTACCTGAAAGGGGGTTCCAAAGAGGATGGCTCTAGACTGTTCTCAATGGTAGCAGATGACAGAACGAGGAGTAATGGTCTCAAGTTGCAGTGGGGGAGGTTTAGATTGGATATTAGGAAAAACTTTTTCACTAAGAGGGTGGTGAAACACTGGAATGCGTTACCTAGGGAGGTGGTAGAATCTCCTTCCTTAGAGGTTTTTAAGGTCAGGCTTGACAAAGCCCTGGCTGGGATGATTTAACTGGGAATTGGTCCTGCTTCGAGCAGGGGGTTGGACTAGATGACCTTCAGGGGTCCCTTCCAACCCTGATATTCTATGATTCTATGATTCTAATACTCACATAATTTGTCAGCCCACTCTGTTTATTAGCAAAGCGCTTTGCCAATGCACCCAGATATGTGAGCCCCGCTCTGAGGTTCAAGCTAACTTATTTATACAGGTAAGCCAAAGCCAATTTAACATAAGAGACAAAAGGAAGCAAAAACTGACAAATATACATGCATATCTTATTTGCATACTAACGTTTACCAATCTCCTAGCTCAGTAGAAGCTCTAAGTTAATTAGCTTGAGGACCCATTGTCTCACACTCCTTAATGTTTCTCTTCCTGACAACTATATTTCAAC